CACCCGCTCCCTCTCTTTGAAAAGCATAGCTGAAAGAATAATCTAGTTGAGGATCAGTTTCCTATCACTTCCAGGATGGTCTGGTTATGTTCTTTTGCAGACATAAATAATGAAAGAGGAGGGCTTTTAACAAAACAGGAGGATAATCCCCAAGGCCAGTAAAAGTATAAATGGGAGGAACATAAAAGGTCAGGATGAGTAATAATAGTTACATTACATAAGTGCCATTGAATCAGGCACGACTCCTGACGACTGAATGGCGTAAACAAAAGAAAGGGGAGAGCCCCATGTTTTTAAACAAGATTTATTTAAGCCCCAAATATTCCTTTTCCAAGGACACTTCTGAAACATTTGTGAAACAAGAGACGTTCACCAGTCTTTTTTTAATAGGTTTATTATAACAATATTAACTCCCAGCCTAGAAATCAGAGACTCTGAGTTCTAGACCAGTGGTTCTCAACCTTTTTAATGCTGCGACCCCCAACCGGTCGTAAGTCGAGGACTACTCAACCAGTCGTAAGTCGAGGACTACTCAACTGGTGCAGCACCGTTTGCAGAATGGGACAGAGAAAGCCTGGACAATTCCTATTGGCTTTTGAAAGCCAATAGAATTAGACTCTATTCAAGAGAGTCTATTCTATTGGCTTTCAAAAGCCAATAGAATAAAAGGGCGTAGCACAGCTAAGGAAAAGGGGGAAAAAATGGCAGACTCCGTTGTTTGGCGACCCCCGTGAAATGGTCGTTTGACCCCAAATGGGGTCCCGACCCCCAGGTTGAGAATCCCTGTTCTAGACTCACCTTAGGCATGAAAGCCAACTGGGTGACTTTGGTCCAATCATCAGGAGACAGTGAGTTCTATTCTGCCTTGGGCATGAAAAATGACTTGGGACCAGTCCCTCTCTCTCAGCCCTACGTACCCATCTCACAGGATTGTTGTGCTAAAATAAGGTATGTTCACTACCTTGAAATTATTTATAAAAGCAATAAAGGCAGGATATAAATAAATAAGCACCAAATCAAACACACAAATTTGCTCTGTAATTACTTCCTTGTAGGTGAAGTGCAACAGATGCTGAGACTCTAGAAAGAATACAGAGAAGAGCAACAAAGATGATTAGGGGACTGGAGGCTAAAGCATATAAGGAACGGTAGCTAGAATTGGGTATGTCTAGTTTAACAAAGAGAAGGGACTTCCGGTGGATTTTGCGCGCGCGATGGCGGCTACTTTGTAGCCGTCTTTCCTGGGCAAGTGTAAGAACCGCTATGAACAGCAGACACCAGCTGTTCAGCGGTTCAAAATCCCCCTCCCGGGCAAAGGGGGGGGGTAGAGAGTGTCCGAATAGTGGTAGAGCCTCTTTTGCACCCCCCAAGTTTTTTTGGGGGGGGGTGAAAGGAGTGCTCCCACGGAGTTCGGACTTGTCTCCGCTTCCCAGCTGTTTTTGTCCTCAGGGACAAAACGAGCCGCTGCAAACACCTCCGTGCTTAAAGAGAACTGGTGAGTTTTTTTTTTTATAAACGGACAGAGCTGAGTAGAGGATTTAGTTTTTGCTTTCTTTGATTTATTTGGATTTTAAGTTTTAAGACTTGCTTCTATTTTTATTCTCTCTTTTTATTTTATTTTATTTTTTTTTTTCTCTGTTGAAAGGGAAAGTAAAATGGCGATCGGCAAATCTCTCGGTGTTTTTTTTTTTTTTGAAGTTAGAATGTTGACCGGCAGGCTTTTTTGTGTTTCTTTTTCTTTCCTTTCCCTTTCCCTTTTTATTTTCTTATGATTGGAATGGTTGTTTTTGGTATCTCTAAGTATTTTTTTTTTGGAATGGACTTTTTCTATTTAATTATTATTATTATTATTATTATTTTTTTCTTCTCCCTTCTTTATATTGTAATGACTCTTTTTTGAAGGACTTTTTTCTGTTTAATTTTTTGCAATTTTTAAGAAGGATTAAAGCTTTTTTTTAATTCTTTTTCTCTTCCTTTTTTTCCCCCTTTTTTCTTTTTATTATAATGACCTTCTTTGGAGGGAGTTATGATTTTTGAAGGAATTTTTATAATTTTTTAAGAAGGGCTAAAGGTTTTTCTTTAAGATGGCTCCAAAGCGTCCAGGGATTTCTACAGCTTCTAAATCAACAGTTTCACCCTCTTCTGGGGGTCAGCTAATAACTATGAAGGATTTGCAAAACATGATGGGAGATGTTATAATTCAAATTAGGGCAGAAATGAAAAAGATTTTAGAGGAAAATAATAAGATCTTGAGACAAGATTTTGTTTTGGCTTTAGAAGGAGTTGCTTCTGTTCTTGAAAAGGTGAACTCCCATGTGGAAGAGGTAGCTGAAAAAGTGGACATAATGGAGGGGAAAATTGAAAGTATGGAAAAAGAAATGGAAAATGAGATTCTTATGCTTCAATATGGACAAATGGAATATGCCTTAAGAATCAGAGGCCTGGAAGAGTCTTTTCAAGAAGATTTGAAAGAAATGGTTGCAAAGGACTTTGCATTGATTTTGAATAAAGAAAAAGAGGGAATACTTAGTGAAATTGAAAAATTATTTAGGGTTAACTCTGTGGTGGCAGCACAGAAGAATCTGCCAAGAGATGTGGTAATTTACTTTGGTAAAAGATCCTTACGCAATCAAATTGTGCAAGCCTATTATAAGAAGAGATTTCAAATTGCTTCACAAGATGTCATAATTTTTAAGGAGATCCCATCTAAAATTTTAAGAAGAAGAAAGGAGTTTGCTTTTCTAGTAAATGAACTTAAAAAGAGAAAAATTCTATTCAGATGGGATATTCCGACTGGAATGGTGGTGAACTACCTGGGGACATGTCATAGACTTAATACTGTTTCTCAAGCAAAAGATTTTTATACTTCGGTCCTGGGGGTATGTGCATCGCCATCTATTAGGTCTCAACAAGTCCAGATTGAGGAGCAGAAGACAACTTGTGTAGCACATAACTCCAAAGAAAAGCAGCAACAGAAGAAGGTTAAGGAAGTTTCATATTCAGCGGTCTCTGAATCTCTGGGAGATGTTGGACTTACAAAGTCTTTGGAGCAATCTTCAAGGGTAGCTCTGGGAGAAGTTAGACCTACAAAGTCTTTGGAGCAATCTTCAAGGGTGGAATTGCTGCCTGAAATCGAAATTGGGAAATTTCAGCTTGAGGGGCACCAACAAGAGAGGAACGGGCAGAGGATAACTTGTACAACTTACAACTGTGAAGATCAACACAAGGAGGAATTTACTGAGGAAGTTTTACAGGTATCGGTCCCTGAGACTTGTGCAACATATAAATGTAAAGAAAAAGTAACATATAAATGTAAAGAGAAAGACCAACAGAAGAAGGAGGTTGAGGAAGTTTCACAGGTACTGATTCCTGAGCTGGTGGGTCAACCAGGACTTACAAACTCTTTGGAGCGATCTTCAAGGGCAGAATTCCACGCATTTTTTTCGATGCTTGCGGGCAAGAGAGACCAATATGGATTGTGCTTATAGTAGATGCAACTGGCTATTAGACAGAAGATTATGGATATTGAATGAAAATTTTAGATAAGAAGTTTGTGTTTATAGTGGGTGCAACTGGTTATTGGACAGAAAATTATGGACATTGAATGAGAACTTTAGACAAGAAGTTTACTATTGAGATTGTGGGAGAAGTAAAACTTATATCGTTTTTGGAAAATGTCTTATGTAATGTCTAAATATGTGTTTTGGGATAATAATATATTTCAGTTTTAAGTTTTAAACCTTTAATGATAATATTGTTTAAACCTGTGTTTTGAAGGGATTATAATTTGTTTATTTCAGTGAGGGGATTCTAATAAATTTGTGTTTCGAAGGGAGTATAATTTGTTTAAGTTTCAAGTAATGCTTAAATTTGGTTTTTAAATATTATTATTAATATTTCTAAGAGAAAATAATTTGCTTAATTAAATGTCTAGATTTGTTTAGGAAAGAAAGTAATGCTTAAATCTGTGTTTTTGGAGAAAGTTTATATAGAATGATGATTGTATTTAGATTTGTTTAGGATTTAAAAGTGTTTCAAGCTTTTAAATATTATTATTAATATTTTTAAGAGAAAATAATTTGTTTAACTAAATGTGTCTAGATTTGTTTAGGATTTTTAAGTTTTTTTTTTTTTTTTTTTGATAGGTGAGAAGATGATGAAGATTGAAGGAAATATGTATTTACTTTAAGTTTTCTAAGAGTATTTATTTTTAATGGTACAACAAAGGTTTATATGTTTATCTTTTTGTATTAGGATAAAGAAAGAGGGAGAAATTAGATTTTACATTATAGCTATAGATATTCAAAGAAAGTAATGTTTAAATTTGCGTTTTTGGAGGGAGTTTATATAGAATGATGATTGTATTTAAATTTGTTTAGGTTTTAAAAGTGTTTTAAGTTTTTTTTCTCAATTAAGCCTGTACTCAGCTCTGGGAAGTCTAGGGGAGGGTTTGGGAGGTTGGGGAGGAGGGGGGTGAGGTAGGGTTGGGGGGGGTATGGGAAGGGGATTTGTTTTTGTAAAAATTTAAAAATTTTCAATAAAAAAAAAAAAAAAAAAAAAAGAGAAGGATGAGGGGGACATGATAGCAGTGTTCTAATATCTCAGGGGCTGCCCCAAAGAAGAGGCAGTCAAGCTATTCTCCAAAGCGCCTGAAGGCAGGACAAGAAGCAATGGGTGGAAACTAATCAAGGAGAGAATCAACCTAGAACTAAGGAGAAACTTCCTGACAGTTAAAACAATTAACCAGTGGAACAACCTGCCTCCAGAAGTGGTGAATGCTCCAACACTGGAAGTTTTTAAGAAGAGACTGGACAGCCATTTGTCTGAAATGGTACAGGGTTTCCTGCCTGAGCAGGGGGTTGGACTCGATGACCTCCAGGGTCCCTTACAACTTTATTATATATATATATATATATATATATATATATATATATATATTCTTATTAGTAATTTGGGAGTTTGCCTTTTTGAGTCTTTTGTGTAAAGCGCTAGTTCAAAAGTTGCTTTATATTTCTACTTGACTTAACAATCTCTTTCTGTTATTAGAGATTTGCACAATACGGCTGCCTTTTTATCATATCATCATCATCATCATCATCATCATCATCAAGTTGGAAGGGACCTTGGAGGTCGTCTAGTCCAACCCCTGCTCAGGCAGGAATGGCCTATAACATTTCAGACAAATGGCAAATTTTGTTTTCTGAAAAGCCTGGCCTATAACCTATGTTGGTGTATCATAGGAAGTTGGGGAATATATCCTTAAGGATGTGAGTGAGGAACCAAGAATTAAACCTGTAGGATAAGAAAAGTTGAAAAAATCTTGCTCTTTTGGGACAAGAGGGATTTTCTTTTGCAGACAGCTGGAAATTCTCAAAGGGGTGAGGGTTTGTTTCTTTAAAAGGGGATGCTTCAGTTTTTCACCAAGCCCACCATGAAGAAGCCAATCACTGAAGTAGGAAAGCTCACTGGAAAAAAATTTCTTAGGTGTTTCCTGCTTGATGAATATCCCCTTTTCAAGATTATATGGCAAGGGCCCCTCTACAAGGCCTGGCTCTCTCCCTGTCTCCAACCAGCTATTTGGAGGTGGCTCAAATAAAAATATGCAGCTTGTGAGATATTCCCTCGTGGCTTTCTAGGACCAAGCAGGAACAGTCAACAAAAGCTTGGATCAGCAGCTCTGTGTGTCTCTGAGAACTCCATGTGTCAACACAGAACGGGGCAAGGACTTTCTACCCTGAGGGGGTATGTACGTGGAGTGGTCAAAATCCAAGTGTGGAGAACTGAAGTCTCCTTTGATGGCTTTTCCTTCATGGACAGGACAGGAATCAGATGTTCCACAGACACCCACCTATGCCTACTTTTAGGGCTGCTGGCAGTCAGCAAATAGGACAGATGGCCCGCTCTCTGGGTGTTTTTCTTCTTCTTCCAGAAATGGTATCTAGGTGAGGATGGAGTCCACCTCTTTGTCAGTTCTGAACCGAGCTTGGTGTTTAAGGTGGACACCATGAGCCATGCTTTCTCCAGCCTTTTAGGACTTGCCTACAGCTTTCACTATCTTTTGACTGTTGTTGTTCAGTCACTGTCTGACTCTTTGGGACCTTATGGACCAAGCATGGCAGCCCTCCGCCCTGTGTCCTCCGCTGTCTCACAGAGTTTGCCCACATTGACGTTCATTGCCTCAATGACACCATCTAACCATCTCCTCCTCTGCCGTCTCCTTCTCCTTTCGCCTTCCATCTTCTTCAACATCGGGGTCTTCTCCAAGGTCTCCTCTCTTCTCATTTGGGGGACAAAACATTTGAGCCTTTCAGCTTCAGGATCTGTCCTTTCAAAGAACAGCCAGGGTTGATTTCCTTTAGGATCGACTGATCGGATCTCCTTGCAGTCCAAGAGACACCCCTATTTTGGTGATCAGAGCAGATACATCAAGTTCTTCTACGTTCTGATGCACTACAGCTAGTACTTGACTTGCAACCACAAACGAGCCGAAAATATCCATTGCTAACCAAGACACTTGCCAAGTGGCTTGTGCCCCATTTTACGACCTTGTTTTTGTCCCTGTTGTCAAATGAATCACGTGGTTGTTAACAGAACCTGGCTTGTCTCATTGACTTTGGTTGTCAGAAGCTGGCTAGGAATGGTGATCACATGACCCCTGGACAATGGAACGGTCACCAAGACATACCCGTTGGCAAATGCCCAAATTTTGATCACATGACCATAGAGATGCTGTGACCGTCGTAAGTGTGAAAACTGGATATAAGTCACTTTTTTTCCCGTGCCGTTGTAACTTCAAATGATTGCTAAACTAATGCTTGTATGTAGACAACTATCTTTATTTGAGTCTGCATCTCATGCAATGTCAGGGCACCAGCTATATGGGTAGTCTTTGACTTATAACTGAAATGGAGCCTTTTCATCACGTCGTAATCCATGACAGTCATAAACTGGGTCATCACATAACCAATCCTCTTTTACAAACTTTTTTGGGGGGTGGCCGTTCAGTGGACCCTTGTTTTCTCTTGAGTATTTTTGCCAAAAATCTGGAAGTAAATACCGCAAGTGTGTTTGTGACTGTGGGACGCTCTAAATGGATGTAAAAGTGGGCCAATGGCCAAAGGCCAAAAAATGCAGTCATGTGACTCCAGGGTGTGACTCCTATTTATAGCAGAACTCTTAGATTCTGCAACAGCTTGGTTCCTTAAATGCCATCAGCCTGGTAAATTCGCTGGATTCTTTTTTTTTTTCGCCAGGTGTATGTGTACACTTGAAGTAGACGGTGATGTTTCTCTGCGTCATATATGTGAGTGTATGTGGGTATATGCATAATGGTATTTTTTTTTTGAGAGCTGAATGCAACAAAATTTCATTTTAATGATGCTGATTAGTGTGCATTTAAAGTGACAATAAAGTTTTTGTTCTGTCCTGTCCTATCCTGTCCCTGTCTCTATCCCTGTCCTGTCCTTGTCCCTGTCCTTGTCCTTGTTCCTGTCCCTGTCCTGTCCCTATCTCTGTCCCTGTCCCTATCCCTATCCCTATCCCTGTCCTGTCCGTGTCCGTGTCCATGTCCATGTCCCTGTCCCTGTCCCTGTCTCTATCCCTGTCCTGTCCTGTCCTGTCCCTGACCCTGTCCTTGTTCCTATCCCTGTCCCTGTCTCTATCCCTGTCCTGTCCCTGTCCCTGTCCTTGTCCCTGTCCTTGTCCCTGTCCCTGTTCCTATCCCTATCCCTGTCCTGTCCATGTCCATGTCCATGTCCCTGTCCCTGTCTCTATCCCTGTCCTGTCCCTGTCCCTGTCCTTGTTCCTATCCCTATCTCTATCTCTGTCCCTGTCTCTATCCCTATCCTTGTCCTGTCCCTGACCCTGTCCTGTCCCTATCCCTGTCCTTGTTCCTATCCCTATCTCTATCTCTGTCCCTGTCTCTATCCCTATCCTTGTCCTGTCCCTGACCCTGTCCTTGTTCCTATCCCTATCCCTGTCTCTGTCCCTGTCTCTATCCCTGTCCGTGTCCATGTCCGTGTCCCTGTCTCTATCCCTGTCCCTGTCTCTATCCCTGTCCTGTCCTGTCCTGACCCTGGCCTTGCCCTATCCCTATCTCTGTTCCTGTTCCTGTCTCTGTCCCTGTCTCTATCTCTATCCCTGTCCTGTCCTGTCCCTGACCTTTTCCCTGACCCTGTCCTTGTTCCTATCCCTATCCCTATCCCTGTCCCTGTCCGTGTCCGTGTCCATGTCCCTGTCTCTATCCCTGTCCTGTCCTGACCCTGACCCTGACCTTGCCCTATCCCTATCTGTGTTCCTGTCCCTGTCTCTGTCTCTATCTCTATCCTTGTCCTGTCCCTGTCCTTGTCCCTATCCCTGTTCGTGTCGGTGTCCCTATCCCTGTCTTTATCCCTGTCCCTGTCCCTACTGCTATCTTCAGCTCTGAAAAAAAGGGACTGATGACCGTTTTTTATCCTTACGACCGTTGCAACATCCCGAGGGCCATGTGATCAAAATTCAGACGCTTGTGGCCACTGACTCATATTTACAACGGTCGCAGTGTCCCGGGGTCACATGATCCCCTTTTGTGACCCGCTGACAAGCAAAGTCAATGGGAAACCGGGTTCATTCAACAACCGTGTTACTAACTTTACAACTGCCGTGATTCACTTAACAACGGGTGGCAAGAAATGTCGTAAAATGAGGCAAAACTCTCTTAACAACTTCCTCACTTAGCCACAGAAATTTGGGATGTAAGTTGAGGACTACCTGTACATTCAAAGGTGTAAACACTTTTCCAGCTTAATAGGGAGGTGGCAGATAAAAAGAGCAGGTGAGGGTGATTTAATGCAACAAGGCCGTCTGTTCTCCCATGGGAGAATGTTTGCAGATCTGTCACTTCTGCCTGATTTACGCAGCTCGGTAAACACCCAAGTTTTCATTCGGCCCACTGCAGATCCATCTCAAAATAAATGAAATGCTGCTACTGGAGGGGTGTGTGTGTGTGTGGGTTTCTAATGGAGCTGCTATTAGTTTAGGGTTAATTATTAACACTCATAGAGCCAGTTTGGTGTAGCACAGTGTTTCTCAACCTTGACAATTTTAAGGCATGTGGACTTCAACTCCCAGAATTCCACAGCCAGCATTGCTGGCTGTGGAATTCTGGGAGTTGAAGTCCACATGCCTTAAAATTGTCAAGGTTGAGAAACACTGGTGTAGCAGAAAAAGCATCAGCCTTGAAACTGGAAGATGGTGAGTGCTAGTCCTGCCTTGGTTACATAAATAAGATAAAATAAATTAAAGCAAAACAAAATAATCTCCATCACATCTTTTAGTGAAAGCATGTTTTATATATATATATATATATATATATATATATATATATATATATATATATATATATATATATATATATATTTTGTGCTGTCACTAAACAAACTGTTGTAAGTCAAGGACTGCTGTAGGGGAGGCACAGCTGGCAATTTGTGATATTTGAGGATAAATAGTTGGAGCCCTTCCTGATCTGAAAATAAAAAAAAAAAAACGGGGTGGGGGATAGAAAATTAAGCATTATACCAAATGTAATCTTAACATTCTTGTCTCTGTTGGAGACCAGACCTGCTTTGGTCTAACTTTGGGCCTCAAAGCTTAGGAGGGTCTAAGACAAGGCTTTTCAACCACGGGTACCACCTGTGGTACATTGGCACCTGGCAGGTGGTACGCCACCATCCTAGAAAAGTGGTAGTGGGGGAGGGGAATGAGCTGAACCGGTGGCAGCACCGCACAAGCCTGAGCGAGAGACGGTTGGAGCTGCAGGGCTGTCAGGGCTCAGTGGAAGCGCCAGGATCAGTGCCGCTTTCCAGCTGATTGGCGCTTCTTCAGGACTGTCAGGGCTCAGTGGGAAGCTCCAGGATCAGCGCCAGGCTCCAGCTGGAGCTCGGCGCTGATCCTGGTGCTTCTGCTGAGCCCAGAAGAAGCGCCAATCAGCTGGAATGTTGCAGCATCTCCAGGGTCTTGTGTTTTACATTCAGATGCTTGGCGACTGATTCGTATTTATGATGGTCACAGTGTCCCAGCAGATGGGGGGGAATAAAAACCAAACACTCCCCCACCCCACCCCCACTGCCAATCCTCAACAGAAATGCTCACAACAATGAAAACCTCAGACAGGAGGAAGAGCGTGGCCAGGTGGGCAGGCAGGTGTCTTGCTCGGCTGTGGCTTGGGGGGCACAGTGCCATTGTAACTTCGAACAGTCACTAAGCGAACTGTTGTAAGTCGAGGACTACCTGTACTTTATTACTTTTTTCCTTTTTTTTTTGGTCATCAAGTTTTTGACACCTTGCTAGGCGACTGGTGGTCCTTGGATGTTGCCGTATCCTAAAAATGGTACAGTGGGTGAAAAGGTTGAAAAACCCTGCTCTAAGAATTGTTCTTAAATGCCTTTCAGTGTGTGATGAACATTTGGACTACAAAGATGCTAAGCTACTCTATCGCTTCCGCAAGGATGATGGGACCTTCCCGCTCAACAAGGAAGTCAAGGTGTTCCTGAGAGGACAAAACCTCTACGAGACGTACGTGAGCCCTCCGTCTTCCTGGTCTTCAGAGGTTTCGGTGGAAACCCATTCACTACATTTCTCCGGCCGTTAATTTTGGGAGGATTTGGGGAAAGAGATGAATGGGAATTCCTTCCTCCCATTTCCTTTTTTCCTTCCTTCCTTCCTTCCTTCCTTCCTTCCTTCCTTCCTTCCTTCCTTCCTTCCTTCCTTCCTTCCTTCTTCCTTCCTTCCTTAATCTTCCCTCCCTCCCTCCCTCCTTCCTTCCTTCCTTCCTTCCTTCCTTCCTTCCTTCCTTCCTTCTTCCTTCCTTCCTTCGTCTCTCCATCTCTCCCTCCATCCCCCTTCTTCCTTCCTTAATCTTCCCTCCCTCCTTCCTTCCTTCCTTCCTTCCTTCCTTCCTTCCTTCCTTCCTTCCTTCCTTCATCTCTCCCTCCATCCCCTTCTTCCTTTCTTCCCCTTCCTTCCTTCCTTCCTTCCTTCCTTCCTTCCTTCCTTCCTTCCTTCCTTCATCTCTCCATCTCTCCCTCCCTCCCCCTTCTTCCTTTCTTCCCCTTCCTTCCTTCCTTCCTTCCTTCCTTCCTTCATCTCTCCATCTCTCCCTCTCCTTCCTTCCTTCCTTCCTTCCTTCCTTCCTTCCTTCCTTCCTTCCTTCCTTCCTTCCTTCCTTCCTTCCTTCTCTTTCTTTCTTTCTTTCTTTCTTTCTTTCTTTCTTTCTTTCTTTCTTTCTTTCTTTCTTTCTTTCTTTCTTTTTTTCCCCAAAACCTTCTAGGTATAAAAATCCTACAAAGTATCCTTGGTGATCTAAATATAAAAATAATAAAGGCGGGATATAAATAAATATCTCTAAAGTGTCTGTGCAAAGGTGAGACAAAATGCCAAAATTTGCTGTTGATGTTGCAGATCCTAGAATTATTTTTCCCCCTCCTGTCATTGCCATTATTGGTGTCACCGAGGGGTCCCTTCAGCCAGGCTTCCTTCAGCAAAGATTTGTTTTTAAATTAAGCATTCTGGTTGAGACACAAACTGCAAACTGGAACCTTATTCCTGTGCTTTTGCATCACTTGGAAAATCCTTCCGAAAAACTTTGCCCAAAAAAAGTCCAGGGACTCGTTAGTTTGATGGCATTTGAAGCATGGTCTTCTTTTCTCCATCTAAGGACTAATTCCAGGCAATTTTCAGGAGTCAAAAATGGACTTGAAAGCACAAAACTCAAAACAAGAACTAAACAGAGAAATAAAGTAGGCTTGGACTGCCCTCCAGTGGTGACAGATGGATTACAGCCCTTCTAGAAATCTTCATAGACTTACAAAAGTTCATTTAGTGCAGCGGTTCTCAACCTGTGGGTCGGGACCCCATTTGGGATCAAATGACCATTTCACAGGGGTCGCCAAACAACGCAGTCCGCCATTTTTTCCCCCCTTTTCCTTAGCTGTACTACTCCCATTTATTCTATTGGCTTTTGAAAGCCAATAGAATAGACTCTCTTGACTAGAGTCTAATTCTATTGACTTTCAAAAGCCAGTAGGAATTATCCAGGCTGTCTCTGCCCTGCTGAGCCCGCCAAAAGTCCCATTCTGCAAATGGTGCTGCACCAGTTGAGTAGTCCTCAACTTACGACCGGTTGAGTAGTCCTTGACTTACGACCGGTTGGGGGGGGGTCGCAGCATTAAAAAGGTTGAGAACCACTGATTTAGTGAATTTAAAATGGGGTGCAACTCCATAATCACATCACGGAGCGACAGAAATTCTGATGCCGGTTGTGGCTGTAAGCTGAGGACTATACCTGTACAGGAAAAAATTCAAGGCCACATGAGACACCAACCCCTAGAGTTGGAATCAACTGATCAAGGGAAAACCTTCACCTGTTTTTTCTCTGTCCTTCCTTACCTGAATTTTAAAGTCGTACTGCCCAATTGAACTTGGACTGGCTGCATGGATTTGTGGTGTGTCCAAATCAGCGGATATCCTTGTTTCCGTGTCTTCCTGTCTGTTGACTATAGGCTGATCGGCATGGACAACTCCATTCTCAAAGTCAGAGAAGAGAACCTGGTCAAATACCAGAGGACCTTCCTGGGCTGTGAGATGGTGGACTGGCTGGTTGAGGAAGGGGAGGCCGCAAACCGGAAGGAAGCTGTGGAACTCTGCCAAACTCTCCTAGAACACGGGATCATCCAGCACGGTATGGCGTAGGAGGAGGTAATGCCGAGACGTTGGCACACACGACTGAAAAGGCGATAGAAGAGAATCTCTGAAGCTCAGGGCTAAACTGCGGGATCCTTGGTGCTCTCTGAGTTTGGCAGTTTTCTTGCGGATGTTCATTACCATACTAGCTAACATCATCAGGGCTAGAACGGTGTGGGGTTTGCACCGATGATGTTACCTATTTTGGTAATGAAACGTCTGCAAGAAAATCGCCAAGCTCAGAGAGCACCAAGGACCCCACAGTTCCTTCCTTCCTTCCTCTTCCTCCTCCTCCTCCTCCTCCTCCACCCCCCCCCGCAAACCCTACTTCCTTCTAGCACTGATGATGTTATGTAATTGGGTAATGAAACATCTACAAGAAAACCGCCAAGCTCAGAGAGCACCAAGGACCCCACAGTTCTTTGCTGCTGCTGCTGCTCCTCCCCCTCCTCCTCCTCCTCCTCCCCCTCCTCTCCACAAACCCTACTCCCTTCTAGCACTGATGATGTTACCTAGTTGGGTAATAAAACATTTGCAAGAAAACAACCAAGCTCAGAGATCACCAGGGACCACACAATTCCCCTCCTCCTCACAAACCCTACTCCCTTCTAGCACTGATGATGTTACGTAATTGGGTAATGAAACATCTATAAGAAAACCGCCAAGCTCAGAAAGCACCAAGGACCCCACTGGAAAAAATATATGCTATGATGATTTGAATTCAGGCAGTCCTCAAATTATGACCATTCATTTAACAACTGTTTGACGTCAGACGAATGCTAAAAAAAGGGATTCATAGCCAGTCCTTGCACTTATGACATTATAGCATCCCCATGGTCATGTGATCCACATTTGACTGTTTGGCAACCGGCGGCGTATATTTACACTGATCGCAGCATCCTGTGAATTTCCCGGCGGCTGCTGACAAGGCAGGCCAATGGCCAGTCGCCAAGTGTCTGAATTTTGATCACGTGACCACGGAGAGGCTGCAATGGTCATAAGTGTGAAAAACGGTCACTGGTCCCTTTTTTTTTCACCGCCTCTGTGACTTTGGACCATCACCAAACCAATGGCTGTAGGTCAGGGACTACTTGTCTGCAGTTAATTGTTTTATTTGCATTTGGGGATTTTAATAAATGGCCAGAGTGGGGATCAATAAGTGAATGAGAATAACAGAGGCCCGTGGCTGGATCAAGAGGATTAAACGCTTGCTGTGACTTTTCTGCCTCGCGGCTCCTTCTTTCCACAGTCTCCGCTCAGTGCCATTTTTACGACCGGGACCTCCTCTACCAGTTTCGGATCAATTTCCGACGAAGGAGGCGACTTACGGAACTGCTCAGCGAAAGTTCGGTCAGGACACTGTCGGACAGCCCCGACAGCCCCTTCTGTCTGCGCAAGCTGAACCCCGAGCAGAACGCCTCCAGCTTCTTGTCAGGTACCTGCAGCTGAAGATACGGGGGGGAGGGGGGGGAGAGGAGAGAGGGAGGCAGGGAGGAAGGAAAAAGGAGGAGGAAAAGAAGAAAGGTAGGGAAGAAGGAACGAAGGAAAAAAGGAAGAAAGGAGAGAGGAAGAAGGGAGGAAGGAAGGGAGGGAAGAAGGAACAAAGGAAAAAAGGAAGAAAGGAGAGAGGAGGAAGGGAGGAAGGGCAGAAGGGAGGGAGGGAAGAAGGAACAAAGGAAAAAAGGAAGAAAGGAGAGAGGAGGAAGGGAGGGAGGGAAAGGAAGAAAGGGAGGGAAGAAGGAATGAAGGAAAAAAGGAAGAAAGGAGAGAGGAAGAAGGAAGCAAGGAAGGAAGGAAGGAGCGAAGGGAAAAAGGAAGAAAAGAGAGGAGGGAGGGAGGAAGGAACAAAGGAAGGAAGGAAGGAAGGAAGGGGGGAGAAAGAGAGGGAGGGAGGGAAGACGGAACGAAGGAAAAAAGGAAGAAAGGAGAGGAGGGAGGGAAGGAAGGAAGGAGCGAAGGGGAAAAGGAAGAAAGGAGAGGAGGGAGGGAGAGAGGAAGGAACAAAGGAAGGAAGGGAGGGAGGGAGGGAGGTAGGGAGGGAAGAAGGAATGAAGGAAAAAAGGAAGAAAGGAGAGGAGGAAGGTAGGGAAGGAAAGAAAGAAAGGGACAGAAGAAGGAACAATTGAAAAAAGAAGGAAGAAAGGAGAGGGGGAAGGGAGGGAGGGAGGGAGGGGAAGAAAGGGAAGAAGGAAAAGGAAAAAAGGAAAAAAGGAGAGACACGAGGAAGGGAGGGAAGGAAAGGAAGAAAGGAAGGGAAGAAGGAACAATTGAAAAAAGAAGGAAGAAAAGAGGGGGAAGGGAGGGGATGAAAGAGAAGAAGGAACAAAGGAAGAAAGAGGGAAGGAAGGAAGAGTGGGAGGGAGGGAGGGAGGGGGAAGAAGAGGAGAGAGGAAAGAAAGGAAAGGAAAGGAAAAGAGGAAGGAGAAAGAGGAGGGAGAGGAAGGAAAGAGGAAAGAGGAAGGAGAAGGAGGAAAGAATAAAAGGAGAAGAAGGAAGGAGCGAGGGAGGGAGAAGGAGGAAAGAGAAGGAAGAATTTGAAAGAGGAATAGAAACAGAAGACTGTTCTTTAAATAAGGCACCACCCTGGTTCTCTTATCTAGCTCTACTTCTTCATTTCTCCCAGCACTTTCTGGAATGACAGATACCCCTGTATTATTTTATGTCTCCCCGAAAACCATCCTGCAATCGTAGGCATACATTATATGACAGATTTTTTTTTTTTTAAAAAATTAAATGTTGCAAGATGTCCATAGTCACCTATGTGTGAGTTGGGCGGGTATATACATTTGTTTAGTACATTGATATTTACTTGCACATATACAGTACATACATGAAAAAACAAAAACTGCACGTTCCTAACATTCTCTCCTATTTCCTGCTTTTTAAAATCCTTTATGGAGGGGCCAATCTGCCCAGCCCAGGCCTGTATACTTTCTTCATTTACAGACTGCAGAAAATATGCATGCTTGTTTGAGCGTGTTTCACCTAAAGTATTCAATTTTGCCTCTATTTTTTTAAAAAATAAATGACACATTTGGGCCAAACAAATTGCCATAATATCATATAGATGTTGTGCACACTTTCTTCAAAGCATACATTCCAGGATACATTTTTATTGAGTGTATTTCATTTTAATAGCTATTGAAAAAGAACAGTGAACATCAACAAAACAGTTTAAAAAGGATAAGGCAGGTGGCTGGTGTATAAGGAACCACGCTGGGCATAGTTGAATATATTTGTATGAAAATTTGAAATAAGGACAAATTCTCCCTTATCTCAGCTCCTGGTCCTCAATTGCTTAGAATAGCAAGCCAAAACTAGAGACTCTGTGCTATTTTGTCCCAGTGCTATTATTTTCTCCCTGTGCTTTTATTGCTATGACTATAACTTGCTTGGATTCAGATAAGAATGCTATTCATTAATTTGGAAAGGCTAATGCAGTGGTCTTCAAAATTGGCAACTCTAAGACTTATGGACAAACTCCCAGAATTCCTCAGCCAGCCCTGGCTGGCTGAGGAATTCTGGGACTTGAAGTCCACAAGTCTTAAAGTGGCCAAGTTTGAAGACCCCTGGGCTAATGAAAAAAAAAAAACCTGATTTCACAATAAAATGTGAAAGGCTGCAATTTTGGTCAAACTCCGCACAAACAGACAGATACATATACAGACAAACACACGGGCACGGCATCAGAGTTGCTTTCAAAACAGTAAGAGTAAAAAAGAGAAAAACAATACAGGAATGCAACATAAAAATACATACATTATAAAAAATATGTAATAAATGCTTCAAGTATAAATGAAAAAACAGAGCAGAAAAAATAAACAGAGTATAATACGTTGTTACAAAGATAGAGTTGTAATTTTATTTATATTTATCTAATACAGTATATTAAGCAAATACACATACACACACAAACAAACACACACACATACACAGAGTGCTCTCTGACTTCAGCAGAATACTATTTATTTCTTTCAGTCCAACCTAATAAGGAAATTAAAATTGTCTCGGCGGTCCGAAGAAGCAGTGTAACTTCGCTGGCTGGGGGATCCAGTCTCTATTACAACCTCTCTCCAAACCTGGGAATGGTGCCAGCTATTGAGTGCAATCCTAAATCTGGTGAGCCATTCTTCCTTACCTTTATTTTTTCTTTTAAGATAAGTTGAACATGAAACAAGAGATGGCATCATGAGTTCTCGACTTACAACCATTCATTTTGTGACTGTTTGAAGTTACTGTTCTGTCCCAGCCTACGTGAGTCCTTGTTAGGCTCACAAGGAGAAACCCCTCTTCTAAGAAATAGGCAGGAACTGCAAGAAAAAAAACCAACCCCTTTTATTATTCACAGACCTGATGTCCAAGGCAAACAAACACAGTCCACAGAAACTCGATCCTCAAAGCGAACGGTTGCCTTCGGCAACCAGCACCTCCCACACCTTCCCTTTTATTATGCAGCCAAGGCGTGGCTTCCTAATGCCTTCTCCTTTGCATTTGGAGCCGCCCCATTGCATTCCTCTGTCCTACTCGCTTCTCTTACCTGAGCTTTTGTGCATCCGGGATTTGTCCCAGCTGTTCTTCATCATTGTCCAACTCAGACTCCCAGCACAGCTGTGTCTCAGCCTGAGCGCAAGTAGAGGGGCCAGGCTCCTCATCAGACTGTAAGTCTTGGAGCTCCTCAGAGCCTTTCTCTGACTCTGATGTCACTCCAGGCCCCTCCTCCTCCTCTAATTCCTCAGACTCAGCTGCCGAGTCCACTGGCTGTCAAGGAATCACAACAGTTACAATGGCACTGGAAAATGTCACTTATGACCCTTTTTCATAAACGACCATCGCAGCATTCCCACGTCACCCATAAATCGAGATGCTTGGCAACTGACTCATATTTATGACGGTCACAGTGTCCCGGGATCACATGGTCATCTTTTGCAACTTCTGACATGCAGAGTCAATGGGGAAGTCAGATTTGCTTAACAACGGTGTTACTTATTTAACAAGCGCAGTGACTCACATAAGAACCGGGGCCAGAAAGGTCATAAAATGGGGCAAAACTCACTTAACAATTGTCTTTGCTTAGCAAGAGAAATTCTGGGCTGTAAGTTGAGGACTACCTGTAATTTAATGGAATGATCTGCCTATCATTTTTCCCCCTTTCCTTTTCTTTAAAAAATTATAGCTTTATTACATTTGAAAATCAAACATTAAAATACAAGCCAACATAAACAGGGAAAGGGAATATCAAAACAAATTAAAAGGGGCCAAAATTGCAACTGGCACATTTAAGGGCTTCCAACTTTCTTTTACTTCAAGAGATAATCAGCAACTATTTATTTATTTGCCTATTAAATTTATACCACTCTAATGGCAGAAAGTGAAGAGTAACTAAAAAGCCACTTTGATGCAGGTGAAGAAGGAAAGTGCAAAAGTTGGCTTGAAACTCAACATTAAGAAAGCCAAGATCATGGCATCCGGCCCTCTCAATTCCTGGCAAATAGATGGGGAAGAAATGGAGGTAGTGACAGATTTTATCTTCCTGGGCAAATTTAGATAGCATACTAAAAAGCAGAGACATCACCCTGCCAACAAAAGTATGTATAGTCAAGGCCATGGTTTTCCCAGTTGCAATGTATGGCTGTGAAAGTGGGACCATAAGAAAGGCTGAGCGCCAAAGAATTGAGGCCTTTGAACTATGGTGCTAGAGAAGACTCCTGCAAGTCCCCTGGACTGCAAGGCGATCAAACTGGTCAGTCCTAGAGGAGATCAACCCGACTGCTCTTTGGAAGGCCAGATCCTGAAGTTGAAATTAAAGGACTTTGGCCACCTAATGAGAAGGAAGGACTCACTGGAGAAGAGCCTAATGCTGGGAAAGATGAAGGGCAATAGAAGAAAGGGACGACAGAGAATGAGGTGGCTGGATGGAGTCACTGAAGCAGTAGGTGTGAGGTTAAATGGACTCCAGAAGATGGTAGAGGACAGGAAGACCTGGAGGAACGTTGTCCATGGGGTTGCGATGGGTCGGACATGACTTAGCAACTAACAACGACATTAAATTTATATGCTATGTACCTCGCCTAGAGATTCAAACAAACACCCTCTAAATTTAAGCAAATAATACCAATATTTTAAAATACTAATAATCAATTTTCTAAAACACCCATATTCATAAAACATTATTCTCTTAATTTTAATGTAACGGAGAATAAATTGTCCGACGTAATTAACCTTATAGTTGAAAAGCTAGAATATTTCTCTAATCCAATCCAATGTCATCCTCAATTTTTCTCCGTTTCCATGCAAGTCTTGAAGAGACCAGTCACCAATGAGGAGCTTTTGACACCCGGAGCACCTTATATCAAGAAAACGCTGACAGTGAGTATACAGGTCAACAAGTTAGCATTGTTGCTGAAATAAATCATTCTGACTGCTTGCTGTAACTCAGAACATCCCCCACTGCCAGTATTTGTAGATAAAAGTTTCACCTCAAGGTCATTTCCTAAGAATTGGGGACAGATGTACATCATGTCTTTGACAATAGTGTGATAAATCATCTTCCACTCCTTTATTTCCGCATGGCTTTTGACTTTTCGATCTATCTCAGTGTTTCTCAACCTTGACCACTCTAAGAGGTGTGGGCTTCAACTCCCAGAATTCCCTAGCCAGCTGGTTGGCTGGAGAATTCTGGGAACTGAAGTCCACACCTCTTAGAGTGAACCACGGTTGAAAAATACTGCTCTGTCTTAAGACGGATGGTCTGCCATTCAAGCGTTAATGGTGGTATTTTCCATAGAATCAAGCAAGGTTGACCCACCAAGTTCTCCATCCTTAGTTCTTGAGGACTTTGTAGAAACATCCATGTATTTTTCCCGATAAGAGTATCAGAGTCATTGTCTTTTTTCCAAGATACATCTTGACTTCCTATCCTACTGTGTAGCCTGGACTTTCCAAGGCTTTCCTGTATGGGTCCATCCAGGCCCAACCATGTTGTGTTTCCAAATGTAGACAAAGTCAGCCAAGGATTGCCCCAAGTCTGTAGAAGTATGGGCCAAAAGAAAAATCAAACAATAAGATGTTTTTTGGATATACAGATAAAGCTTCTCCTTCTCCTTCTCCTTCTTCTTCTTCTTCTTCTTCTTCTTCTTCTTCTTCTTCTTCTTCTTCTTCTTCTTCTTCTTCTTCTTCTTCTTCTTCTTCTTCTTCTTCTTCTTCTTCTTCTTCTTCTTCTTCTTCTTCTTCTTCTTCTTCTTCTTCTTCTTCTTCTTCTTCTTCTTCTTCTTCTTCTTCTTCTTCTTCTCCTCCTCCTCCTCCTCCTCCTCCTCCTCCTCCTCCTCCTCCTCCTCCTCTCCTTTCCTCCTCCTTCTCCTCTTCTCTTCTCTTCCTTTCCTCCTCCTCCTCCTCCTTCTGCTCCTCCTCCTCGTTTACCTTCTCATTTGCAGATTGTAGGGGATGCAGTTGGCTGGGGTTTTGTGGTCCGTGGAGGTCAGCCATGCCACATCCAGGCTGTAGATCCAGGAGGACCAGCTGCTGCTGCTGGCATGAAGGTACTAGATTTAAGCCTCGTGAATTAGATATGTGGGATCTTCCAATCTGATGCCTTTCCTTGCCAAACACCCTCCATCTGTCAACCACTTGAATTTTATTAGACTGGCAGGTAGAAAGACTTGGCAATCAAGGAGGCTAATCGTGGTAAATATAAATGATTTGTTTGAAAAATAAACGGACAGATTACAACATTGATGATGAATGTCAATGAAAAGGCAGTCTGAGTCTCCTTCCAGATTTGGGAACTCTCGGAATGCTGAACTTTCTTTCCTGCCCTTCTGCAGAGGACAAGAAAGCCGGCAAAGCCCGTGGGGCAGTGCAGGCCACCTCCAGAGGCTGCTTCGGGGTGAGGGTGAAAGAGAGAAGCTGCTGGTTGGGGCCCCCGGCCAGTCCCCACCCCCTCCTTCCCACTGGATCCCCCAATCCAGGGCAGGGATACTAAGGAGGCAGCTTCTGCTTGCCTCAGGCCCCGGCTCTCTTAACGTTCAGGCACCTGACGGCAGTGGCACCGGCGGCATGCAAGTCGAGTGGGGGGGAAGGCACTTGATCTGGCTTGCCAAAAAACCAATGGTGGGACGAGTGGGCGGGGTCTTAAGTAGGGCTTATTTGGGGGGGTAGGGCTTATATTAGGCCCAACCCCCAAAATCAACCTAGGTCTTATTTTCAGGGTAGATTTGGGGGAAACAAGGTTGATAGATAGATTGATAGATAATAGATAGATAGATAGATAGATAGATAGATAGATAGATAGATAGATAGATAGATAGATACTGATTGGCAGATAGATGAGAGATAGTTGGATGAGAAATTGATTGGTAGATAAGAGATAGATTAGATCAGAGATAGATAGTTGGTAGATAGATGAGAGATGATGGATGGATGATAGATAAAGGATAGATGGATGGATGAAAGATAGATAGATAGATAGATAATAGACAGACAGACGGATAGATAGATAGATAGATAATAGATAGATAGATAGATAGATAGATAGATAGATAGATAGATAGATAGATAGATAGATACTGATTGGCAGATAGATGAGAGATAGTTGGATGAGAAATTGATTGGTAGATAAGAGATAGATTAGATCAGAGATAGATAGTTGGTAGATAGATGAGAGATGATGGATGGATGATAGATAAAGGATGGATGGATGGATGAAAGATAGATAGATAGATAGATAGATAGATAGATAGATAGATAGATAGATAGATAAATAGATAGAGACATAGAGACATAGAGACATAGAGACGTAGAGAGATAACAGACAGACAGACAGATAGATGTTGTGAATTGCGAAGTCGTGTCCAACCCATCGCGGATAGATAGATAGATAGATAGATAGATAGATAGATAGATAGATAGATAGATAGATAGATAGATAGATAGATAGATAGATACTGACTGGCAGATAAATGAGAAATTGATCTGTAGATAAGAGATAGATTAGATCAGAGATAGATAGTTGGTAGATAGATGAGAGATGATGGGTGGATGGTGGATAAAGGATGGATGCATGCATGAAATATAGATAGACAGACAGACAGACAGACAGACAGATGGATGGATGAGTGCCGCTTAGTTTAGGGGTGTTTTATGCTGTTTCTTCCTTTTTCAGGTCTGCCAATTTGTCTACTCAGTGAATGGAATGTATGTTTTACATTTGGACTATCAGACTGTGAGCAACCTCATTGTGACAGGACCTCGGACTCTTGTGCTCGAAGTTATGGAAGAAGATGAATGAAGTCACCTCCTCCCTGTCTCCCCAACATTTTGAGATCAGCACCCACTTTGCCAGCTGAGGAAGATCCAATCTATGTTCTGAACCTTAAAAACATTGGATGGGGTTTTCCTACTTATATCTATTATCTATAATAATATGTCTCAACCTCAGTAAATTAAAGATGTATAAACTTCATGGCTGGCTGGAGAATTCTGGGAGTTGAAGTCCATACATCTTAAAGTTGCCAAGGTTGAGAAACACTGAGGAAGTGAGGAACAAAGAAGAGGGAGTCAAGCTATTCTCCAAAGGCAGGACAAGAAGCAACAGATGGAAACTAATCAAAGAGAGAAGCAACCTGGAACTAAGGAGAAACTTCCTGACAGTTAGAACAATTAACCAGTGGAACAACCTGCCTCCAGAAGCAGTAAATGCTCCAACACTGGAAGTTTTCAAGAAGAGATTGACAACCATTGGTCTGAAATGGTATAGTGCTTCTTGCCTGAGCAGGGGGGGTGGACTAGAAGACCTCCAAAGTCCCATCCAACTTTGTTACTTTGTTATTCTGAAATGCAACTTGACAATTCAGAGATGATTTTTGAAGATGTGCTCCTGAAACGGAGTAAACCTAAGCAGGATGTTTTTAAAGAGGTCTCATAAATTTGACAGTGGAATTGCAAATTCATTACCTCTTTCTCACATTCCCTCCATCTACTACCGGGAAATGAAAGGAGAATAACAACTGTGCAAGATTGTAGCGTAATGCTAGATCCAAAATGCTTCTGCGTCACGGGGCAACTATCTAGCAAATAGGCAGGAAAATAAACTTGTGCTTTTGAACAAGATTCTTAAAAAGGGACAAGTCACTCAACGAGACACCATGAAATACAGGAGGTCCTCAACGTACGACCACAGTTTAGCCCAAAACGTCTGTTCCTAAGCGACACTGTTGTTAAGTGAATTTTGCCTCATTTTATGACCTTTCTTGCCACAGTTGTTAAGGGAATCACTACAGTCGTGCAGTCAGTAACACAATTGTTAAGTGAATCTGGCTTCCCCGTTGACTTTGCTTATGAGAAGGGATCACATGACTCCGAGACACTGCGACCGTCATATATATGAGCATCTGAATTTTGATCCTGGGATCCTGGGACACAGCAACGGTCATAAATATGGGCCAGTTGTCAAGCATTTAAATTTTGATCCCATGGGGATGTTGCAACAGTCACAAGTGTGAAAAACTGTCATAAGTCACTTTTTTCAGTGCTGTCGTAACTTTGAACGGCGACTAACCAAATGGTTATAAGTCGAGGAGTGCGTGTATTCTCAGCCTGCCAGCCAAAAACGTGACTTTATGACGGTCATTTTGATTTGTTATTTTGTAAAGATGCCGAGAAGCAGTGCTTTTTTTTGTCATAGAACGCACCGGAACAGAATTCCGGCACCTTTTTTTTGATGGATTTTCTAAATTTTAAAAGTAACTTTTGAAAATTTGATGTTTGGTCCACATGGGCTTGAATCATCCTGTCGAGAGTAGCAAATCGGCGGCGAAATCATTAAAACGGACTGCTTGTGTGTAGAGTCCGATGCATGCATACTTTGTCCGCGCTGCTTGTGATGGCGCTGCTCGGCTTGTGGCACTGCTCAGCTTCTGATTGGTCGTGTGGTTGTACATTGAGTGCTTACTGCGGGCGACGACCATTATGTTTTGTTACACAACTGATGTGTGGGTGTGTGTACAGGGATTGACTACGTGTGAAAGGTAAATAATCGTTGGTGAATTGAAAATCTTTTTTGGTGTAACATTTACTATGAACATTTGCCTTAAATACAATAGTTTAAATTTATGTTAAGAGCTGAATATATTATTTTTTAATAAAAGATTAACAATATCTTAGTTCCGGCACCTTTTTTCTTACAAAAAAAGCACTGTCGAGAAGCTACTGTAAGAGCTTCTCCGGAAAAGCCATTGCCCCCCAAATCATGACTAATACTCCTATTTATGATTCTATTTATGAAATTATTTTGCTCTCTTCTGGTCTTGAGAAATTGATAGGAATTTGGACCGATGTAACCGTGCTGTAAATCCCTCTCTAGACCATTCTCCGCTAGCAAAGCCGAGATCCGAAACTTGTTTTCATGGCAAGGATAAAAATATTGTCCTCCATACCTTCAGGATCCAGCTCTTGATTTCAAGTCTGAACATTTTCCTGTCTTTGAACTGCAATCCGGGGGGGGGGGGGTGAGTCATTTTTGCAAATACATTCACCTTGCACTGAAATTGTATCTCAAAAATTTGCCTCAATAGATGGCCAAAGACACACATAACAGATACAAATATTAGGGAAAAAGATATAACGGATACAAACTTGGGGGGGGGGAATAATCTTTATTTTCAATTTTGCCCAGTGGACTAATTTTCTTTACAAATCATTGCCCTGAATATAAATATTTTTTATACGTTATATCATGACCCAACAAATTTGATATTATTTACTTTAAAAAAAAAGTTTGTAAACTGCATTGTAAAATTCAGAGAAATGTGCCTCTTGAACCTTAGATTCATGTTTACTTTTTGGGTTAAAAAAAAGAAAGAATAACTGCTATTAAATGCAAAAAAACCCCACCCACAGTATCTCTTTTTTTTATTCTTAGCCCAGCTATTATGATGGAGCGATCTTGGAGTGCAGTCCCTTACAAGGTCTCTGGAAAAAGTTCAGAGAAGAACAACTAAAATGATGAAAGGCCTGGAGACTAAAACATACGAAGAACGGTTGCAGGAATTGGGCTTGGCTAGTCTAAAGAAAAAATATATATATATGGGTGACATGAAAGCAGCATTCCAGGATCTGAGGGGCTGCCACAAAGAAGAGGGGGTCAAATTATTTTCCAAAGCACCTGAAGGCAGGACAAGAAACAATGTTTGGAAACTGACCAAAGAGAGAAGCAACCTGGAATTAAGGAGAATCTTCCTGACAGTGAGGACAATTAACCAGTGGAACAGCTTGTCTCCAGAAATCATGGACGTTCCATCACTGGAAGTTTTTAAGAAAAGTCCAGTTACTTGTCTGAATGGTATAGGTCCTCCTGCTTGAGCAGGGGGCTGGATTAGAAGATCTCCAAGGTTCCTTCCAGCTTTATTCTATTCTAAATATGAGTCAGCAGTGTGCTGCAGCTGCCAAAAAAGCCAACACAGTCCTAGGATGCCTTAATAGAGGGATAGAATCAAGATCATGTGAAGTGTTAGTATCCGTTTACAATGGCTTGATAAGACACACTTGGAATATTGCATCCAGTTTTGCTTGCCACGATGTAAAAAAGATGTTGAGACTCTAGAAAGAGTGCAGAGAAGAGCAACAAAGATGATTAGGAGACTGGAGGCTAAAACATACGAAGAACAGTTGCAGGAAATGGGTTTGTCTAGTCTAGTGAAAAGAAGGACTAGGGCAGTGATGGCGAACCTGTGGTACGGGTGCCAGAGGCGGCACTCAGAGCCCTCTCTGTAGGCACGCGCACCATCGCCCCAGTCCTAGGCCTTCAGCTGGGTTTTATAAAACCTTTTCACTTTAGGCCTCCGCCGCCGTGTGGGAAAAAAAAGCCGCCGTGTGGGAAAAAAAAAAGGTTAAATCAATCAGTCAATTTTAACTTCTCGCAGGGAAAAAAAGATCTTGAAAAGTTGGAATTGATTGTATTTTTTAGTCCTACCCAGTCTGCCGTTACCACCGCAGCCACGCCCACCCAGTGGGCCACACCCACCCAGCACCCAACAATGCATTAAGTAGGTTTTGGGTTGCAGTTTGGGCACTCGGTCTCTAAACGGTTCGCCATCAATGGACTAGGGGTTCCAATATCTCAGGGGCTGCCACAAAGAAGAGGGAGTCAAGCTCTTCTCCAAAGCACCTGAAAGCAAGACAAGAAGCAAGAATGGACACTAATCAAGGAGAGAAGCAACCTAGAACTAAAGAGAAATTTCCTAACCAGTGGAAGCACTTGCCTCCAGAAGTTGTGGTGCTCTAACACTGGAGAATTTTAAGCAGAGATTGGACAACCATTTGTCTGAATTGATACAGTGTTTCTAGCTTGAGCAGAGGGTTGGAGTAGAAGACCTCCAAAGTCCCTTCCAACTCTATTATTGTGTCAAGAGCTGACCTCCAACAACTTTTACAATTTACCCAAGTATTGTGAGGTCCTTGGTGCTCTTTGAGCTTGGTGGTTTTCTTGCAGACATTTCATGCTGGCACTGATGATATTGCCTAGTTTGGTAAAGAAATGTCTGCAAGAAAACCACCAAGCTCAAAGAGCACCAAGGACCTCACAATTTTCTTCTTCTCCTTCTCCTTCTCCTTCTCCTTCTCCTTCTCCTTCTTCTTCTTCTTCTTCTTTCTCCTCCTCCTCCTCCTCCTCCTTCCTTTCAGCGGAAACAAACGTGTCTTTTAAGAATCAATCAGGGCATGTCACTGTATGCCATTTGCCGTGATTTCATGTTGCTGCTATTTTTAGAGTGTCAAAAGAATGACACTTATTTTTTTTAGGCTCTTCAGTAGGAACTGGTGGATAGAAGATTAGGGAAGGGGGGGGGGATTGGCACGCGCGCGCGCGCGCGCGCACACACACACACACACACACACACACACATGTATCCATAAATACCATTCTCAATACATTCTTTGACTAAATCCTCTACTGTCTTTATCTGGATTTGTCTTCTTGGATGACCAGGAATAGAAAATTCCATCCAGCATTAACACAGCGATGCTGTCAACCACTTCCTGTCCTCTTGGATTCCGCTGAAATTTTCATGAAGGGCTTTTCAGAAAACCAAAAAGAGGGCTTTTTTAATTATTATTTTTTTTAAAAATCCTGGATTTCTTTAACTGGCAAATGAATCAGTTAGCCTCATCGCTTCCTGCTTTGAGAAAATGTCCCAGATAATCTCCTAAGTGACAGTCCTATGTTGTAAGCTGTTCAGAGATGTTGGACATGAGATGGGTGGCAAATATTTTTTATAAACAAGTAAATAAATTCCTACACGATGAAGGGAAAGCAAAACGCCACAAAGCAAAAACTTGAGCTGGTTTGACAACTTTTAACTTGGTTTTAACTTTTTTTTTCTTCCTGAGAGTACAAATTTCCTAATAATGCTGTGAGCTGTTAGCCACCATTTTTACTTTTTATGATTGCTGATGGAGCAAATTCAGAATTGAAATTGTGAAGACTGATGCCTATTATATTCATTTTAATTCTATTGTAGAATAGAATAGAATAGAATAGAATAAACAGATTGTAGAATAGAATAGAATAGAATAGAATAGAATAAACA